AAGTGGTCATGTGGTCAGAGCCTGACAGCAAGGCAAGTGTTGCATGTAGAAAGAGCCATGGGTATTTGATGTGCACTAACACATCATCCTATGTGATCCTTGAGGCATCAATGAGGCTCTGAGAATTTAAAAAGTGTGTCCAAGATCATACAATTAATGAGCGATTTTATGCCTAATGAGTTTTTCTATGTTCGTCACTTACGTATATCTCAAATTCTCTTTGATTCAGATTACCTTCTTTCTGTCTCACTAACCTCTACCCTACAAAAAACCAAAATGCTGGTCAACTCCACGGGTAATGTCATTCTTAGCCCAGCTCACACAAGCAGTTGTTAGAAACCATTCTTGTGAGTGCAAACGAAGTCATATTATGGTCTAAATATGGTACTATTCATTTACAGATAGTAAAGAGCATTCAGAGCTGAAGACCCCAGTCAGTGTGAGAAATAAAGATATCCGAGGTTTCAAAGGGAAAGAAACATTTTTTTTCATGAAAAATTTTTAAAACGTTTTCCTGACCCATCAATCACAATGACACAGGCTTTAATTATTCAAAAAGAAATTTTATTTCTGGAATCAAAGATTTGGCTCTTTCTTCACAAGGTAAAAGTTTTGAGACATCCACTTTGTTGAGTGCTCTGTAAGATTTTCTCTGACCTTATTAGAATTTAACACTCTCTGAGATAAATTGGTGCCCATGCCTCAGAATAGGAAAGCTCTGGCAATCTATTTTCCAGTGAGACCATCCTAAACCCCAAAATTGGATCAGGTCACTCCTCTGCTCAGAAAATTTTCCTTGTATTCCTTGGTGGACACTTTTTATCAACTACTCAACCGCCATTCTTTCCCCTTCTTCATGGTTAGCCAAACCCTGATTCTCTTCAAGCATTAAACAGATTTGACACCTTAAGGAAAATTACGTTCCTCCCAATTCCAGGGTATAATTCACAATGCTCTATGTCAATCGTCCTCAATCAGATGCTTACTTTTCCAGCCAGCTGACAATAAACATGGGACATAGCTTTGATCAGGAATATGTAAGGGGGAATCTTCTAGAAAATTTCTAGAAAAATTGAGCAAACTTGAAAGAAAACTTTCTAGCACTACTTATTCCCCTTTCTCCCTCCCTCAAAAGTGGTTCTGCAGGAGGTGATATTTAAAGCTCCGTTATCCTTATTGCAACCTATAGCAGAGACTGCTAGCCAATCAGCAAACTTACTTTCTCTTCTTCTTAAGCTCACTGAAACTCTTCACTTTCCATTTTCCCTTGCAGTTAGGTATAATTGAATTCTAGTCAAGAGATGATGGGGGAAAGGACTATACAACACTCCCAGGGCTAGCACAGAAAAAGCTTTCATGCACAGTCCACATTCTTTCCGCTCCCAGCTTGATGGAAGTCTTGGAAATCTTGGAAGATATAATGAAGGTGGTGGAAAAGAAGATGAAAACCACTTGAAGATAAGCCACTTGTTTATCAGGGAAACCATTTCAATTTTTATAGATGGGAGGTATAAACTTTTGTTGTATTAGCCACTTAGAATTGAGGGAGTTAGCTATTACAGCAGCTAACAGGATATTAACTATATACGACCATGAGGCAAAAAAGAAACCTAAGAATGCAACATCAGCTTGAGGAATGTGCAAGAGAAAGACTAGAGGCTTCCCAAGTCTTTGAAGACACTGTCTAGAGGCTGCACCAAACTGGAATAAACTATCTCTCAACTTCTTGCTCTGTGTGAAAATGTAATGTCTCTATTACCTAAGCCACTATCAGCTGGAGAAGCTGTTACATGTAGCATAAAACATTCCTAATTGATAAACTACAACTATCTTAAGAAAAAGAAGATTGTCCTTCAAGTCCTTTTTCAGTACTACCCCAATCTACCCTTTCAGCTTCACCTTTAGACACTGTCTATAACTTACAAACCCTTATTCCATACTGAACTAAAATCTGGCCCCTGATCTACCATGGACCACCATCCTGCTTTGATATTGTATATGTTCCTCCCTCTGCTGGGCTTGTTCTTCTTCCCCTCTCCAGGAATGTATGCCTTAAATATTTCAACTCAAACAGCATCTCTTCCTGTATTTTCCCCTGACTGTGGCACACAGAATTAACTTGCGCCTTCAATGATGTTCCGTAAAGCTCTGTGAGAACCTCTAGCACAGTGATTAGGGGCTCATGGACCTGCCAGCTCACTCGCCTGCCTTCTTCACTAGATCAAGAGCTTCTCAAAGGCAGAGACTCTAATTCTTTCACTTCTCCTTACCCAGAGCCTAGTAGAGTCCCCAGCACATGGAGAATTCTTGATAAATGCTTACAGAATTGAAAAGAAGCATTGAATAATGAGTTGTTAGCTTTCTTCAGAATTGACAGGATCCTTTAAGATTGACCTGTCCATCCCCCTCATTCATGGATGAAAAAAAAAATTGATGCCCTGAAATGACTGAGAATTTAGTGTCAGAACTGGTATAAAGCATAAACCTTCTGATTTTCAAGCCACTAAGAAATTTTTTCCATTTCCCAGTTTCTAGGCTGAAGCAATTTTTTAGTTTGACCACTTTATTCAACTCCGGTGACATGACCTTCCCCCGGCTCTAGCTTTACCAGTCATAGAAATAATTTTCCATAAATCCTAGTATGAACACCAGGAAGAAGAGCGAAATGTCAGAAAGTAAAAAGAATCTACACTCTCTTGGAAATCAATCATCCCCAGGATTACACTAACTTAGCAAATTCTGCTTCATCAAAGACATCCTGACTTGCAGTCCAGGTCCCCCCACACGGGGCCTGAAAGCCATCCCCGATCGTCTGTGGAATAGCCAAGGCCTGACATCATGCTTGACCTTGACAAGTCAAACTCCTCTCCTAGAGGCAGCTAAACTCTGCTCTCCAGCCACCAGCTGCTGTCTGGTTTCCTATTCCAGACTGAAAAGAACACACAGACACAGTGATGACACACAATCTAACCACATCATGCCTGAGGAATCCTGCTGCCCCCACCCACCCACCTCAAGTTGGAGCCCTTGGATATTGACCTCAGTTTGGATGCTCTTCCTCCTCTCTGATCAGCCTTGCACCAAGTCCCAACATGCCAAGTTCATCCAAGATGAGATAGGAAGGTGCCAGAACAGTGGCCTTCTGCAAGGGCTTTGACCAGGATCAATATTCATTCGTGCATTTATAAATTCAAAAAGGTATTGAGCATCTGCTACGTGTTCTTGCCATCAAAGATAACAGTGGTGAGCAAGGCAGACAAGGTCCTTCCCTGTGAGACCTATGTTTGAGAAATGTGTCATATAATTCAGGAAATATTGGGTGCCATAAGGAAAAATAAAAGACAGTCAGGAAAACCCAGGGATGAGACTGGGGCAAGTGTCTACTCTTTAAATAGGGTGGCAAATAAGGCCCTTTCTATTAATAAGAGGACAACACTTGACAGAAGACGTGAAAGAAGCAAAGGAGCAGACCATGAAAACATCTCAAGATGACCATTCATCGATGCCTGGGACAGTTACAGTTTACTATCATTTCCTGACACAACTGGTAATAAAAACTCATTATACACTCAAAATTATGCCAGTGGGAAAATAAATTATATGAACTTGGCAATAAATTATTTCAGATTGCCCTGGATCTGGCAGAATTGAATTAAAGGCAAAGGAAATAGTAAGTGCAATGCCCTGAAGTGGGAACAAGCTGGAGTGATTAGAATCGGTGAGAAGGTGGACGTGGTGGAGCAAAGCGATGGAAAAGGAAAAGGAGCAGGAGATAACCAAAGAGGGGACAAGCAGACCATGCAGGGTTTCTGAGGTCATGGTAGGGAATTTGGATATTTTTCTAAATATCACAGGAAGTCATGGGAGAGTTTGGAACCAGGGAACGACAAAAAACGAACTGACTTATTTAAAAAGTCCACTCTGGGTCTCACATAAAGAGCAGACTACATGGGAACAAAAGGAAACAGAGAACCCAGACTGGAAGTCTGAGGAAAATAACCTTTTTTTCCTGTATACTCTCACAGAGTCACTCAACAAAACACTTCTGACACCCAGATATATGGGGATTCTTCCCCACACACCATGCAATCAGTTCTCCAACAGGCCCCAACTGGGTGTCCTACAATTCAATTCAATTCTGACACTATTTACCTGGGGATACTTCCCTAGTGACCTTTGCTTCTGATCGACCATCTATAAATTGGGGTTCCCTTGACAACCTTCTTGGGGTCAACTAATTTGCAACAGCAGCTTACGGAACTCAGGGAAACACTTTACTTATGTTCACCCATTTATTATTACAAAGGATATTACAAAGGACACAGCTGACCAGCCAGATAGAGGAGGCACATGTGGCAAGGGGTGTGGGAAGGGGCACCAGGCTTTTATGCCCTCTCTGGATGTACCACCCTCCAGGAACCTCCACATGTTCAACTACTTGGAACAGGAGTCCTCAAACCATGGCCCGCGGGCCACATGCAGCCCCACCGAGGACATTTATCCGGCCCGCCGGGTGTTTTTGCCACCGCTGCCTGTGCTGCTTAGCAAACGACTCATCCCGGGCCCACAGTGCGCATGTGTGGAATGTGCGCCACACTCTCCAACGGTCTCAGGGACAGTGAACTGGTCCCCTGTTAAAAAATTTTGAGGACCCCTGACCTGGGAGCTCTTTGAACGCTATCCTTTTGGGTTTTTATGGAGGTTTCATTACATAGGCATGATTGATTACCTCCTTGCCCATTGGTGATCAACTCAGTCTTCAGCCCCTCTCTGCAACTCAAAAGTTGGGAGTGGGGTTAAAAGTCCCAGCCCCCATCCCGAGGCTATCAAGGAGCCCACCAAGAGTCACCTCATTAGAATAAAGGATGCTCCTATCACCCAGGAAATTCCAAGAGATTTAGGAACTCTGTGTCAGATGCTCCTATCACTCCAGAAATTACAAAGGTCTTAGGCGCCTGTGTCAGGAACTGGGGTCAAAGGTCAAATATTAGAACTGGAGACCAAATCTATATATTTTTTATTCTATCACAATATCACAGAAAGCCATTGCAGTAATTCAGGTAAAAAAAAATGATGAAGGTTTGGACTACCATAATGAAATGTGGTCAGATATGGGGTACATACTGAAGGTAAAGCCAACCAGTAGATTAGGTGTGGGATATGAGATATACAGAGGAATCAAAGGTGACTCTAGGGATTGTGGCCTAAACAATGGCTTGGTGCCTACTGAGATATGTAAGACTGAGAAAGGAGCAAGCTTGGGTGGGAGAGGGAGGAGGGAAATCACAAGTTCTATATTTACTGTATTATTCTGGAAAAATTAATTGGACGCCCCAGTGGAGATGTTGCATAAGCATAGGGTAGGATGTGCAAGTTTGCATCCCACAGTATAGGTTGTATCTAAAGAAATGAATCTGGGAGTTAACAGCATATAAATGGTATAAGTATATCCTCAGCTCATAGGAATTTTTCTCTTGAATGTCTCTTGCTTATCTTGTCATTGTTGCTGCTGATGATGATGTTTTTATTTATTATTTCTTCTCCATCTATCTTTTTCCTTCTGCAACATCTTCTCTTTCTACGTTGGGTCTCTTGAATCTCTCGTCTAGTCACTTACTTTTTCTTTCAAGATTTCCCTGTTTTTATCTTTCTGCTGAAGTATTTGTAACACTCATGGCTGGTGCACTGCTCCACGTGTACGGATCATCCTCTGATGTCACCCATAGCTGCAAAGGGCAGTGCCACGTGCACTCAGACTAGTCTTGCACTGACAGCTGTCCACTGCAACCACTGCCCACATCTTGGAATGCTTCCAGCAACATCTCTCAATCAATAGGGAATGGGAAACTGTAAATAAATTCTCCAGACTCCTGTCCTTTGGGGGCTCAATTCCAGGAACCTTTCTAGATGCTTCTCAGAAAGTCCCGGTGGAATTGAGTCTTGTTGCCTGCAGCAGTGACTTCAGTAATGCATCCTTGTATTGGATTTCACTTTCCTTGTCTCATCTCATACTCTCTCACACTTGCTTCCTGGAATTATCTGCAAAACATATTGCCTGCATGCAAGTCCTTGTCTCAGCTTCTGGTTTGGGGTTGTCTGGAGGGAAGGAGAGAGTCAAATCAAGAAAATATTTTTGAGCGATTCTTGAATTTTCTTTTCTAGACCGCTGATTTGGACCTCAACATTGATCATCCTCAAATAGTGAAGATTTTAGCTCAAAAATCAAATAGTTATCAAGCTCCATGAAGAGTGTATTTCATGCCCTCTCTCATCCTCTCTGTTTCTCTCTCTCATTCGGAGATGGTAATAAATCTCCTCTAGTACATCTATTTCACCATAGTTGTGCCCTAACTGTTCAACCCAATCCTCTTTTCCCCTTCTCTGGCTATTGAGGCCCCTCAAGCCTAAATGCTAGAATATCCCTCATGATGGAAATCTGAAAAAGGTAAAAGGCCAAGGCATCTTTTATCCTACAGGCCTGTAAGGGCAGAGTATCAGCCCCTACCTGCAGCTTCTAGGGAAGCCCTTTGGCTATCAGTTCTACCTGAACTCATCCAACCTAGAAAGAAGGCAAGACTTCGTCCACTCTTTTATTCATAACTCCTTGTCAGTCTTTTGTAGGTTAGCGAAATGAGCACACTACCAAGGATTAACATTGGATTTCTTTTAGGAGCCAATTATCTCTAAAAAATAGCTTCTTCCCAGCCCTAAGACTCTCCTGTTCTCATCCTTAGTCTCTGATGCTGCTCTCTAGGGGATCACCTACCACTTAGGAGAAATCCCATCCAGTCCCCTTTCAGGGACAGTAGCAGAGCCCAAGGCCATATCTATAACAGTCACTGAAAGATCTTGGTTCCCACTTGGCTCAGAGGAAGCAAAATTGTTTGGACTTGGAGTGGAGGCAAAGAGAGTCATCATACAGGGACAGGTCACCATATTCCCAGAATCTCCTTCCCTCAACTGTAGACGATAAGTAAACCTTTGAACTGGAGACATCATACACATAAAAAGAGGGCTGGGGACAGAATTCTGGAGCATGCAGTCATTTAGAGGACAGGGAAAGGAGGAGACCTCATCAACAACATAATTTAAATAAATTCTTAAAGTATTTCTAACAAAACTATATTTTGTTGGTACAAATATAGAAGGGCAGTATTGAGAATTGCGTGGGCAGAGAGGTCCCCATAGGAAATAGATGATGAAGAAGATGACTCTTCAACCATAATTAGCACAAGACAGAAAAGAGGACAATATGGCCAGCTGTGAAATGAATTTGGCTACCTTTCCTTGGCAGAAAGGGCAGGCTAGGAAGTAAACAGCTCAAGCATCCAAGAAGTGAAGAACACATTAACCAAGCAACTGGGGAGATAGAGCCTGTGTCCACACAGAAGAGATGAGACAGGTTCCAGAGAGGGACCCCAGCCATTTGCAAGATTCCATGAACACAGGAAAGCCCAGGAAAGATGGGAGACTAGAGATAGGAAGAAAGGTATCTCTAAGCCTGTCATGATTGTCAGGAAATGGGACCAAGTCTCTGGTGGCCCGTAGAGAAATAGCAAGTTCGTATAGAACTCTAACTTCTATTAAATCTAGTTTTTAGACTTAACACTCTGTATGGGATATATATTATTTCATGTCTATTAAACTTCTTAACAGTCTTATAAGAGTGCTTACTCTATATCTCAGATAATCACAGGAGAGCTAGGAAAAGCACATATGCTACCCAAAAATATTCCTTAAAAATACCGACTTGGAAAAATTCATTAAAAATATTAATATGAATGCCCAGGCATGCTGTATAATAATAATTAAAAAAAACACATATAGAACATGCCAGTTTAAAATCACCTTCACATACCTGATTTAATGCAATCCCTAAAACAGTCCAACGTGAAAGGTAGGGCAGGCATCATTAATATCCCCTTTTTATAAGTACGGAAATTAAGGCTTAGAGAAATTAAATGGCTGGTTCAAGATTGTTTTGCTAAGTGGAAGAGCTGGGACTAAAACCCAGGGCTGGGGCGGCCTCTGCCGAGGAAGGCATGGAAGGAAGGGCAATGCCTTTTAATTGAAATGTCTACCAGGAGTGTGCTGCACTAGTGTGGGTAACGGCCGCCCCGACTCCGGCTGGGCCGGCACCAGGCCAAGAGCAGCCGGTTTCCCAGGCATTTCTTCACTTGTTCAAGAGATCATGAAAATTAAATTGGGCTATAAGCAGGCCTTAATTCCCCACCCTTGATGTGAGGAGCCATATTTGTCTCATTAGCCTAGGTCATAAACTCCAGCAGGAGGGAGAGAAAGAGGCAGAGGATAACAGCGAGGAAAGGAAAGGGAGAAAATCCTATGAAGAGGCAGGAAGCGAGGGGGAGGAAGGTGAGAGGGCCCGTGAAGGACAAGCACAGCTCCTTAGGTTAGGAGCGCTCCCCTCCCGGCATCGTCATAATTATGTTCCAAGCTTACGCAGGGCTTCGTGTGTGTGCTCTCTCGTTCCATGCTCCTTACCTCCCTGGGAGGCAGGCAGGGCAGAGAGGATCAGCCACATTGTACCAGGGAAGGGATGAGGCTCTGAGAAATTGAGAAGCTTGCCCAGTTGGCAAATCCAGGGCCAATAAAACCTGTGTTTTTTGACTCCTGCTCCATAAAGAGCAGGCCATTTTCAAGATCCCCTTGAGCCACGCAGGGGCAGAAAGTAGAGCTCCAGCATTCTTTTGAACATAGCATGCTGCCACTCTTGTACCTTTCAATGGACAGCTACATCAAATGAGGGTTTTGATATGAGGTTTGAGCATGAAAGTCCTATTACCAAATATTTAAAAATCCAATGGACTGACCCTCTTCTTTAGCTGTACTGGAATATGGATGAATCCCCTATCGTGTAAGCTAGTAGGTCTAGAGTAGGAACTGAGAATTATATAATATTTGTTTAGTTTACAGAGATCTGTACCATAATGGTGTATATTAGAGAAACTTGGTCTAAATTGAGCATCAAAGTCTTGGCTTCAAGTTACGCCTCCTGGATGCTTTCCTTCCATATGAGAGAAATGTAGCAACTGACTATCTCCAAAGAATAAAGAATAAAGCTCCTCTCCAAAGAATAAAGCTCCTCAAAGAGTCAAAATAGATAAACTTTTGGAAAAGCAATGAAGTGCTATACAATGATATGGGCTGTCAAATCAGGAAACCTGGGTTCAAATCCAGTCTGTACCACTTAGTACATAGTAGAACACGGCACAGTAATTAAGATTGTAGATTTGTGGCAAAAATAGATCCAGGTCAAAATCCTGGTCTTATCACCTTAGAAAAGTTATATTGGCTGGGCACGGTGGCTCACGCCTGTAATCCTAGCACTCTGGGAGGCCGAGGCAGGCGGATTGTTCGAGGTCAGGAGTTCGAAACCAGCCTGAGCAAGAGCGAGACCCCGTCTCTACTATAAATAGAAATAAATTAATTGGCCAACTAATATACATAGAAAAAAAACTTAGCCGGGCATGGTGGCGCATGCCTGTAGTCCAGCTACTTGGGAGGCTGAGGCAGAAGGATTGCTTGAGCCCAGGAGTTTGAGATTGCTGTGAGCTAAGCTGACGCCATGGCACTCACTCTAGCCAGGGCAACAAAGCGAGACTCTGTCTCAAAAATAAATAAATAAATAAATAAATAAATAAAATAAATAAAAAAATAAAAGTTATATTGAATCTCAAAACTTAAAATTTCACCATCTATAAAGTACTAACAATCATGCCTGTCTTGCTGAATTATGCCCCCAAAATGGTAATTATTACTTATAAAGAACATCTATTCTCCAATGGAAGTATATTTCATGATACTCTTTGCCTAAATAGCAATCCTTGGGTCTTAAATAGCTATACCAGCTATACCCTAAGGTTTTTTTCCACTACAAATATCAATTGGGCATCCCTTATTTATTCTCTTTATTTTGTTTTATCATTACTAATTTGACAAGTTCTTCATAATTTGCCTACCCTAAATAATAAGCATAGATAATAATTTTGCTTCAATACACAATGATACAAGTAAACTTCTATTTAATCGTATTGGAAAACAGTAAGACTTTGTCTGTTGAACCAGGTTTTAAGGGTTCAGAAGAAAGATAAAATATTTGACAAATATCTTTTAAAATAAATACTTAAGAATTTAGTTTAACATTTTAGTTGGAAGCCAAGCTTAAGCTTTCCATGCTTAAGTAGTTCCACTATATTCTTGAAGGTAATACAGAATTTCCTGCAATTTTGTTTGTTTGTAATAAAGAGATTGGCTTATGTTCATAATGCTGAATCTTAAAAGAAAAATTTATCAACACATGCTAAAGTACAACTTTGGAATCTGCTTGAAAAAGAAAAGCCTTTTCGTAATTAAGGGATAGACAACAAATTTCATGGCTGGTAGAATTTCCATGTATCTTCTAGGAAAATAAATTAAATGACCTCTAGATGGAAGAACCCCAGAGATGCTCAGGCCCCAAAGTCGCAATTCCTGGGCAATTATAAAGGGATTTAAAAAGGCTTCTCTATCTCTTGACACCTGAACGTGGCTCTCCCCTGACTGAGCTAGAATGAAACTGTTAGAACCAAGCCACCAACTGTCCTTTGAAGACTCAGCTCAATTATTACTATTTCTGCCTCTGGGATAATTATTGTTGAAGCAGAATAATAAAATGGTTCTAGAGTTAGAGCACCTGAATTAGAACCCCGGATACTAGTAGTCAACACATGAGAGGCACTATTCTAAGCACTTTGCATATATCATTGCATTTAATCATCACAACAATTCCATGAAGGAGATACTTGTATTATTCCCATTATATGAGTGAGGAAACCGAAGCACAGAGGAGTTAAGCAGTTTACCCTGGGTCACATAGAAATTGTGGTAGCTGGAATCCAACTCAGGCAATCTGGCTCCATTCTGTTCTTTTTCTTCTCAAGGTCAACCACTTCCCAGCTGTGAGGCTTTAGGCAAGCTACTCAACCTCTCTATGCCTCATTTGCAACATGGAGATAATTTTTTTTCTTTTCTTTTTTTATGTTAATAGATTCAGGGGCCACACGTTGAATTACATTACATGTGAATATTGTACAGTG